CCCCCCCCCCCCAGGCCCACTAGCCCTCCTTTCCCCAGGACGACATCTACTCGCCCAGCAGCGGCACCAAGATCCCCGTCAAGTGGACGGCGCCCGAGGCGGCCAACTACCGCATCTACTCCCAGAAGTCGGACGTCTGGTCCTTCGGAGTCCTGCTCTTTGAGGTCTTCACCTATGGCCAGTGTCCCTACGAAGGTTGGCGGCACCCTGCTGGGGTTCGGCCTGAGGGGCAAGGCACAGCCCAACCCAGGGTCACCTGAGGCAGGAGAGGGGTCTGGCCTCAGGGAGGAGTGAGGCCTGCCCTGGGGGTTCACCTGAGGGAGGAGGCCAGTGGCAAGTTGGGAGGCTTGTGAACAGGTGTCCATTGGTGACATGGGCCTGCCCATTGGCCCCCTCCCCAGGAATGACCAACCATGAGACACTGCAGCAGATCTCGAGGGGGTACCGGCTGCCTCGGCCCGCAGCCTGCCCTGCGGAGGTGTACACACTCATGCTGGAGTGCTGGAGGGGCAACCCTGAGGAGAGGCCCACCTTCGCCACGCTGCAGGAGAAGCTGGGCGCCAGCTACAGACGCCTCCACCCGGCCCTCACGTGACCGGCCGCCTGCCCTCCTCTAGAGCAGGCCCAGGACAGCGTTCATTGCAAATGAGTAGAGGCCACCTGCCTGCCCACCTGCCGAGCCTCTGGCGTGGCCTTGTGAACAGACATGACAGGCACATGGAGACGGCTTTGCCCACAGATGCCACCCAGGCAGCTGGACCCATGTCCCTGTGACTCAGGGGGATGGGTTCAGCTCACAAGGATTGGCAGTCTGAGTCTGCCCAGGCTCAGGGGTCTGGGGGTAGGGGCGAGCACATGGGCACAGGGCTGTGCAGAAGTCGTGCACACATGAGCTGGCACCCAATAAATATTTATTGTCTACTCAGACCCGTGCAGACTACATAGCAACCCTCACCGCTCTCGAGGGGGGTGGGCAGAGGTGGGGTGAGCAGGCCCCATGCAGCCTCTCCATGCCCAGGGCATCTGGGCTCTCAGCACAGGCGAGACACCTGCCTCTCAAAAGTGCTGCAGCAGAAGGGACCCTTGCTTCAGCTCTAGGATCAAGGAGGAGGGAGCAAAGGCCCACTAGCCAAGGCTGCCTCATCCTGCAGCCCTGGGCCAGGTGGGTGGGGCCATGGGCTTCTTGACTGGCAGTGTCAAAGGGACCAGGGCCTGGGTCAAAGAGAGTCTCACCTCAGAGGCTGAGTGAGTCAGCAGAGTGGGGAAGGGAGGCATGGAGCTGGGATTTGGGTCACCTGTGTTCCTGTTCCCGGAGTGAGGGAGCATCTCAACCTTCACAAGCTGAACAGGTTTGGCACTCCCTTGGGGAGCGGCCCGGACTTTGACACTCAGAAAGTCAGCCTGGAAGAGCCCCTAGCTCCGCACTCGGGGTTCCTGGGGGATGTTCGCTGGGAACTTGCAGACTGGAAACCTCCCTTCTGCCTCTTCCTGCCCTTCCCTGCCCCCAGGGCAGCAGGGCATGGGAGGGGTGCAGGGGACAGGCAGGTGTGTGAGACACTGAAGGGGAGCTGGGACCAGGTGGAGGGGCTGCGTTCAGCTGCTGAGAGTGGGGGCCACCCAGGTGGAAGAAGAGGAAGGGTGGTCTCACTCTGAGGACACTTCCAGACATGCTCCCTGCTGGCCTGTCCCTCCTGTCTCTGGTCAAGGGTCTGGACCCCAGGACACACCCTCCCAGAGGCCTCTTCCAGGAAACCTGGACTGGCCCACACTCACCTGCCCAGCCAGCTGTGTGTCTGCTAGCTGCCAGCCTCTGGCATCTAGCCAGCTCCGGCAGGCAGGTGCAGAAGGCCGGGCCCAGGCCCCCTGCACTCCGGCTCCTCTGGACTTCCTGGGCCCCCTCACCCAACCATGTCCTTCCTGTTATCCCCCAGGATCTCACCTGCTTCCCCCTTGGCTCTGTTCCTGGCTGGCTCCAGCTCAGGACAGTCCAGGCAGTCTAGTGGTAATCGTGGTGGGGAGCTGCCCGGTCAGCTGGCTCTCAGGGAGCCCCCGGGGCATGCCCCGAAGTGGGGAGGGCCACCAGGAGAGCAGTACCCCTGCTGGGTCTCCTGTTAGGGGTGGCTGTTGTAGCCCTTTACCTGCTTTGTCTGTTCCCACCCCACCCTCTCCCCCCTCCCCCAAAGAGCTGCCCACTCTGGAGGCCCTGGGGCAGGTCCCTTAGCAGTGCCTGATCGGGTCCAGCTGAGGGGCAGGCACCCAGTGACCACCCTGTGAGTCCTGTTTCCATGAAGAAAGAGGCCCAGGCAGTGACAGGCTGCGTGGGCCTAGCTAAACTCTTGGGTACAGGCATGTGGGGCGGGCACAGGCAGGTGGGGGCCCATGTGACCTCAGGAGGCCTGGGGTGGGTGGGGCTGGCTGGCAGCCTCTTCTGAAGGAAGTGGAGGCTGCCTGAGCTGGGCAAGGAGGGCCTGTCAGGGAGCACCCGCCCAGCACCCACAGCAGAGCGATGCCTCTGCCCAGCCAGGCAGCAGGTCCTGCACTGCCCACCATGGTGTCCTGGGGCCCCGCGCGCCTGTATGTAGGCCTCTGGGACTTTGAGGCCCGCACCGCTGAGGAGCTGAGCTTCCGGGCCGGGGACCTGTTCCGTGTGGCTAGGCAGGAGGAGGACTGGTGGTGGGCTACGCGGCTGGATGCCGCCGGCAGAGACCTAGCCCAGGGCTACGTGCCCCAGAACTACCTGGCTGAGAAGGAGACAGTGGAATCGGAGCCGTGAGTGTCCCTGGCCTGGGGTGTGTGTGACCTTGCTCTAGAGCCCCCTCAGGGCAGGGCAAGGCTGAGCCTGGACAGCTTACCGCTGGGCTGAACTGGGCCGTGCAAGGCTGGGGGTACCCAGCTTGCCCTTGCCTGGGGTGGACCCACAGTCCCTCCCCAGCCCCTGGGTCAAGGCTGGCCTGAGGGCTTGGTCCTGGGTTTGCTGTTCACACCTGGAGGGTGGCAGAGGTCTCGGAGGTAGGGGGCCCTTCTGGGGTTCACCCAGGTTGCTTGGTGGTCTGAGCTGAGGGGCCCCAGGGGCTCTCAGACTGGCCAAGCTCATGATCTTGGGGGAAGTCCCCAGCGGGGGCAGAACCATTCCCAAGCACCAAAACCAGCCTTGCGACCTAGTTAGAGGGGCGGGACCCGGGACTTACCTCTCTGGTGCAGGGGTGGAGAGGCAGCAGGCTCCAGGCCACTGCAGGCATCTGCTCTCCGCCCAACTATCCCTCCTCTCATAGGCCCGCTGCCCCCTTGGTGCCAGCGTGGTGGTCAGCTGGGGGCTGTCTGAGTGTTCAGAAGCCCCTCTGGGTGGGGTGCCCACAGGCCTGGGGAGGGCTGTGTCCTCCTTTGTAGCACCACCCTCGAGGTTCCCACGTTGTCTGCAGGTGTGCAAGACAGACACACCAGCCTCAGGAACAAAGGAGGCCACGTGCACGTGGGGGCCCATGGCATCAGTGGTTCCAGAAGGGGCAGGTGGTGGCGAGGTCCTACCCTGCAGCTACGGCCTGAACGTCAGTGGCGCCTGTGATGAGAGTCTGCGGGGGTGCAGGAGTCAGGGGAGGCACGTCTTGGCAGGGTGCACAGCGCTGCTCACTCCGTCCAAGCTGTGGGGGGCTCTCCTGTGAAGGATAGAGAAGGGGCTTTAGGTCAGGAGCAGCATCTGAGAGAGGGTGAGGGGCAGGGGTGGCACCAAAGGGCATTCAGGGCAGGCAGGTGAGCAGATGTGGCAGGACCATGGGTCAGGATGGGCGAGCAGATATGGGGTTGAGATGTGTGAATAGGGTTGGGGGGCCGTGATGTTGGGGTGGACAGGCGAGCAGGCGTGGGGGGTTGTGGGGTTGAGGTGGGTGTGCAGTGTGTGTGTGTGGTTGAGATAGGCGAGTGAGCAGGCATGGTGGGGCATGGGGTCTGGATAGGGGAGCAGGTGTGGGGGACTGTGGGTCTGGATGATTGAGTAGTGTGGGGGCAGTGGAGTTGAGGTGGGCAAATGGGCCGTGGGGTCAGTATGGGGGAGCAGGCGTGGGCAGCTGGCGGTGTGTGTGGGGGTCAGACCTCTGAGCTCAGACTCTGGGCCCCGTCCACCAGGTGGTTCTTTGGCTCCATCTCCCGCTCGGAGGCCCTTCACCGGCTCCAGGCAGATAGCAACGGGCAGGGGGCCTTCCTGGTGCGGGTCAGCGAGAAGTCAGGAGCAGACTACGTCCTCTCAGGTACAGCCCTGTGCCTTCCGGGCCTTCCCTCGGGGTGCACCCCAGACTCCCAGGCAGCTTAGGGAGGGAGTCCCAGGAGGTGTGAACTACCAGTCCAGCAACAGCAGCGTCCCTGGGCTGGGGAGGGCACTGCCCCACGTGGCTCAGCGCAGCGTTCCGCTACAGTCCGGGACAAGCAGACCGTGCGACACTACAAGATCTGGCGCTGCACCGACGGGCGCTTCCACCTGAATGAGACGGTGTCCTTCCCCAGCCTGGCTGAGCTAGTGGACTACCACCGTAGCCAGAGCCTGTCCCATGGCCTGTGCCTCACCATGCCCTGCTGGAAGGTAGGGCCCTCCCCTGGTGGCCCCTTGTGGGACCTGGTCCCTGCAGGGGTCACTCTGGAGTTCACAGAGGGAGCTCATGGCAGGGGAGTAGGGGTCCTGCTGGAGGATGGTGGTGGGCAGGGTGGGTGCATTCTGGTTTTGAAGGGCTTCAGGGTACAGGGTGCGCTGTGGTTTTGCAGAGGGACCATGGCAACAGGAGGTAGGCTGGGGTTGCTGAGAGGGCCTGGGAGGACAGGCCTGGGACAGACCACAGAGAAGTGTGGTTGAGTGGCAACGCAAATGTGACAGAAGAGGGAACCTCTACTGCCTGGGGTTTGGCAGCTCTCAGGACTGGCAGGAGGCCAGGACAGGGACCATGGTGTCCCCAGTTAACCCAACACCAAACTCCATGCAGACCCAAGTGACCCTATTAAGACAGGGTAGAACTGTCCTGTGGGTCTCCAAGGCTGTACCTCTTTATGGGAGTAGAAAGCTGTTTCTCTCCCTCAGAGTGGCTGATGGTTTCAAACTGCTAACCTTATGGTCAGCAGCCCAACATGTACCCATGCCTCCTCTCCTGAGGAGCTGGATATGGGCAGACAAGGTCCACAGCAGGGGCCTTCTGGACGGGCTGTGTCTAGGAGCTGGTTGCTCAAACCTTCCGCTGGGAAGCCAGGGGTCCTGGGGGCTTCTGAGAAGGCCCTTTACAAGGCTGAGTGGGGCCCCTTGCTCCCTGCCATGTGCCTGCTGCCCTTGGGTGGGCCAGCCCCTACACCCCTTATCCCTGCCTGCCCCCCTCCCCTGCACAGCACGAGCCCAAGCCACTGCCCCACTGTGACGACTGGGAGCAGCCCAGGGAAGAGTTCACACTCTGCCGGAAGCTGGGCTCTGGCTACTTCGGGGATGTCTTTGAAGGGCTCTGGAAAGAGCAGGTCCGAGTGGCCATCAAGGTGATCGCCCGAGGTGAGTGGGCTGGAGGGCCGCCCAAGCCCACCTCGAGAGACCTCCCCGTCACACTGAAGTATGCCCTAAATGCAGGGATTTTAAAGGGGCGCTGAACCCTGGAGGCACAGAAGAGAGCTGGGAGCATATGGGGAGCCTGCCCTGGCTGGAGGGGTATGGGGGGGGGGCACCCAGGGCATGGTGAGTGTGGTCCAGGCACCTGGGCTGGGCTTGCCGCAGCGGCTAATGTCCAATGGGCTGCTGACTGGGCCTGTGCCCCTTGGGGCTGAGGGTCAGGGTCCCGCTTGCACCCACCAAGGTCCCTGTCCACAGATGACCTCCTGCACCAGCATGCATTCCAGGCGGAGATGCAGGCCATGAAGAAACTGCGGCACAAGCACATCCTGGCACTGTACGCGGTGGCATCTGTGGGGGACCCAGTGTACATCATCACAGAGCTCATGCCCAAGGGGAACCTGCTGGAGCTGCTGCGGGGTGAGGGCGAGCCCTGGGGGGCAGGGGGTGCTGCAGCCAGAGCCCCCGCCTGCCAGGCACCTCTCCTCCACCCATGGAACCCACATGTGTGAATGACTCACGTGTCAATGACATGAGAATGTGTATTATATGGTGTTGATGTGGAGGTGTGTGCCTGGGATGTGTGCACCTGTGTACCATACACATAACCACCTCTGGAACTGTGCAGTTTCTCACCTGGCACACGTGGGCACCCCGAGCCTGTCTCCTGGTTGTTGTATGGCCTCAGAAAGGAGGCTGGGATGCACTGTTTTCAGTATGTCAGCGGTACTGTGAGGATGCCCAAGTGTCAAAGCCCAGCTGAGCCCTGCTCCCCTTGCCCCGCAGACTCTGACCCGAAGGCCCTCCCTGTCTCGGAGCTGGTGGATATCGCGTCTCAGGTGGCGGAGGGCATGTGCTACCTGGAGTCACAGAACTACATCCACCGGGACCTGGCTGCCAGAAACATCCTTGTGGGGGACCACAACATCTGCAAAGTGGGGGACTTTGGACTGGCCAGGCTCATGAAGGTGGGGCCTGGGGGGGCACTTTGTGTGTGTAGCGCTGAGCTACTAAGGGTGGTGGGGCCTTCCAGGGGGTCTGGGAAAGGGCAGGGGCTCAGTTTGGAGGTAAGACCACATGGGTGTAGAGGGTGGGAGGCCCAGGTAAGGGATCGAGTCGGCTGGGAGCTCAGTGGGGCCAGGATGCAGTGGGCCCTAGGCCTTGGTGATGGGCTTACCACACGAAATCCCTCCTTCCTTCAGCCTTCATGTCCCTGGCTCCTGTGCTGTCTGCTCCTGTAAAAGGCAGGGGGCACAGCAGGTGCAGTCTGCACCCAGAAGCAGGGGTCTCCAGGCCCACTGCTCCCATTCAGCCAGAAGTGGCTTCAGTGAGGTGGATTTTGAGCCCTGCCCAGGCGTGGATGATTTCCTTTTGAGCAGGCCAGGCTTGCCATGCTCAGCCACGCAGTGTGGGCACACTGGGCAACACATGACAGTGGACCAGGGTTGGAGCTTGTGACCTCTTGTCTGAAGGGGTTGTGGTTGATGAGGTGCCTGTAGGCTCATCTCTGGCCTGGGAGTCGCCTTCCCTACTCCCACTGTAGAATGTCCCAGGCCTCAGTAGGCAGCGCCCGAGGAGCACAAGGCCACTGGGGTGACCCGGGCATGTGTCTGACTGTAGGAGGACATCTACCTGTCCCGTAACCACACCATCCCCTACAAGTGGACGGCTCCTGAAGCGCTCTCCCGGGGACACTACTCCACCAAGTCGGACGTCTGGTCCTTCGGGGTTCTCCTCCATGAGATTTTCAGCAGGGGCCAGATCCCCTATGCAGGTACTGGCCACAGTGCCCTGATGGCGGGCAGGGAGGTCCGGCTGAGCATCCAGGAGCACCCAAGCCTGTCCCCAGGCCTCAGGGCCCACAGATAGCACACACCCTCTCCAGGGGTGCCAGTCAGCAGCAGAGAGCACATAGGTGCAGGTGAGTCAGCACAATCCCTCCTGTCCACAGGCATGTCCAACCATGAGGCATTCCAGAAGGTGGATGCAGGCTACCGCATGCCCTGCCCCCCGGAGTGCCCGCCCTCTGTGCACAGGCTGATGCTGGCATGCTGGCAGCACAACCCTGAACACAGACCCTGCTTCAAGGCCCTGACTGAGAAGCTCTTCAGCTTCGCCAGCTACGAGAACCTGCTCTGAGCATGTGGGACCCTGGTCCTGTGCCCGGCAGCCAGGACCAGGACCACAGGGCATGGCTACTTGGTCAGAGGCGGCAGGAGCCACAGACCTGCCAGCTCTGGGAGGCTCAGGCTGATTGGATTGGTGCTGTGCTTTGCTCCGGGCAGCCAGTTCCTGGACAAGTCTGTCCCCCCCAGAGACTCGGGCACTGCAGGCACAGGACAACTGGACCTCGGAGAGCATCAGACCCATGCTCGGCCACAGGCCATCCTGCCTTCCTGGCCTGGATGGTGTGGGGCATGAACTCTATACCAGGCCCCTCTTCTGGGATCCTGAGGATCACATGGTGGGGCCTGCTGCCTCCAGTCACCAGGGTTGCTTTGAGTCTTGCCCGGACACTTGTGGACAGATTGGCACTGGGGTCACCCTTAGGAGCACTCCCAGCCCACTGGAAGGGCAGACAAGGTACCGCCTGGGAGTGGGAGTGAAGCCCTGCTGACCCCACTCTGCACCTGGCCAGGCCCCATGGTGATGGTTCTACAAACACCCCTCCACCACCTACACGTGTAAATACACCCACCCCTCCAAGCCACAAGTGCGAGTGCACGCACACGTACACACACTCACAAGTACACACACACACACACACACACAGAGGAACCGGTCTCAGGCAGCTAGTGGTTTTGTGTTTACTTCCACACGGTGCTAGGTGAGGGCTGCAGGGGTTGGGAAAGCGAGTGTGATCGGATAGTACAGAGGGGATTCTCTCAGCTTTTTGGTCTTTTGTTTTTTCTATAAAAAGAACCTGGCACTTCTCCGACTATAGCCTGCCTCCTCTATGGGGTGGGCAGGAGGGGCCCTGCAGGTGGTGGTGATGGCTGATCAAGGGCCTGGTGCTGGGGAGGCTGGGCTGCCAGGGGGCTTCTCCATGGCGTCCTTTGCCAGGTCACAGGCCTGGGGGGATCCCAGGTGCTCTGGAGACTCCAATACCGGGGCCATGAATGGAGTGGCAGCTTTCCCGAAGAAGAAGCTGGCCCACCAATGGCCGGGGTCGGCCTTGGGAAGCCCTGGAGACACAAGTGGAAATCAGAAGATGGATCCTGGGCCCCGCCCAGTGGGCCCCCCCCACTCCCACTTCCCTCGCCCAGACACCACCCCTCTCACTGCGCCCCTCCCACCACTCCCCCAGGAGTGACCTACTCACCGGGGGAGTGGGGGATGGCCTCCCCAGGGAACTCAGCACTTCCACAGGAACTGTTACTGGAAGTGGACCCCAGGCGGCCTGGGGAGGAGAGGCTGGTCAGCAGAGCAGGGGCCTCTGCCAGCAGCCCCGCCCTCCGAGGTTTTCATAACAGGAAGGGGGCAGTGCTGGGGGGTGGGGATCCTTAGCAAGACGCCCAGTCCGGAGGGGTCACTGGGAGCCCGTTGGCCGTGGGGCCAGTGGGACGGGTTGCGCAAGCCGACACCGGGTCCTACTCACGCCGGTAGTAGTCGTGGGTGGCCACGAGCGAGCCGCTGGAGGGGATGGCCGCCATGCTCCCGCGGAAGGAGACCTGCACACGGGGCTTGGTTACCGGGCACAGGCGCGCCCGGAGGTGGCGGGGCCCCGGGCGGAACACCGGCGCTTTGTGTACCGGCCGCCCCGTCTCAGCCCGCTGCCCGCCGGACCCCGGCCCACCCACGCCACGGCCGGCCCGGTCCTGGGGGAGGCACCGCCGCGCCCGCCCGGCCTCACCTCGGCGGCGACCCCTGGGGCCTCGGCGCAGTCACGAGTGGCGAGGCGCGCGCACGAGGGGCTAAGCCACGGAGCCCATCGGCGTGAGAGGCCGCTCCGCGACCGCGACGCGCGCGACAGGCCGTGCGCACGCGCACCTGCCCTTGTTTATCCACCGGGCGCCTGGCACACGCCAGCGTGGGCGGGGCTTAGAGGCCACGCCCGCAGGCTGGCCCCGCCCCTCCCTGCCTGGCGCTGCCTCTTTTCCTGGGCACGCCCCTCGGCCCGGCGGCCCCAGTGCAGCTTGGTTGGAGGTGCGGCCGGGCTCCGCGGAGCGACGAGGGGCGACCCGCTCAGCTGCTCTGGGCTTGGCCTGGGGTCCGAGTTGCTAGGCGCTCTTCCGGTCTCAAGGCCGCGGGACCAGTTGCTCGGGTCCTGCACTCGGCGCCTGCGCGTCCCCTCCGTTATTATCGTGGCCGCGCGGGCACCCGAGGGCGCCCCCTCGCCTCGCACCAGCCCCAGCATGCACTCCTCTCCTGGGGTGACGGCGAGCGGGGCGGGGGGGCGGGGAACGTGACTGAAGGAGCGTTGTTGCTTAGGGATACGACCCCAGCAAGTAGAGGCAGGGGCACCACTCCCTGCTTCCCTACCTGGAGACACCCTGCTTGGGGCGGGGCCGGGCCCCGAACCTGGCGCCAGCCCAAGCTCTTGTCTCCGTTAGCAAGGTCGGACTTCCTTCCCCGTTGTTGTTAGGGGCATCCAGTGGGCCACGACAGAACGAACTACTTCCCCGCCCGGCGCCAAGCTGCAGCCACTGTGTCAGTCCATCTCCTTGCGGCCCTCCTCTTTTTTGCCGGCCCTCTGTGTCACCAAGCAGGATGTCCTTGTCCAGGGACTGGTCTCGCCTGACAACATGTCCAAAGTCTGTAAGATGAAGTCTTGCCATCCTTGCCTCTAAGGTGTCTCCAAGGCAGATCAGGTTTCCTTTTAGCGGCCCATGCCACTTTCAGTGTTCTTCGCCAGCACCACAAACCAAAGGCACCTATCAATCTATGGTCTTTCTAATTCAGTGTCCAACTTTCACATGCATCTGAGGCAGTTGAAAATACCACGGCTTGGGAAAAGTGTACCTCAGTCCCCAGAGTAACAGCTTTGCTTTTCAACAATCTAAAGAGGTCTTGTGCCGCAGACTTACCTAACACAACCCATTTTTTGATCTCTTGACTGCTGCTTCCATGAGCATTGACTGTGGATCCAAGCAAGACAAAATGCTCGACAAATTCAACCTCTTCTCCATTTACCATGACATTACCTATTGGTCCAGGTGTGAGGATTTTGGTCTTCCTTACATGGGTCACAATCCATACTGAAGGCTGCCATCCTTGGTTTTCATCAGCAAATCCTCACTCTCAGCAAACAAGGTTGTGTCGTCTGCACACGGCAGGTTGTTGGTAAGCCTTCCTCCAGTCCTGATGCCACAGTTTTCTTCACATAAGCCAGCCTCTCTGATGATGTGCTCAGCATCCAGATGGGACAAGTCTGCTGAGAGCATACGGCCCTGACGCGCGCATTTCCTGATTCTAAGCCACAGTGCTCCCTTGTCCTGTCTGTCCTCACAACTGCCTCTTGGTCCATTTAAAAGTTCCACACGAGCACAACGAAGTGTCCTGGAATTCTCATTCTTTTCCAGGCTATCCACAGTTTGTTATGATCCACAGAGTCAAATACCTTGGCAAAATCAATAAAACACAAAATCAATAAAACTCAAATAGACATCTTTCTGGTATTTTCTGCTTTCAGCCAAGATCCATCTCATATCAATAAGCAGGCCCAGGCATAACCCACTACAGCACCAGGGTCACCGTGAGTCAGAATAGCTTGATGGTGGGAGGTGGGAGGATTGGTTGGTTGGTTGGACTTTGTTCCCAGGTGGGAGTGGGAGTGAGGTGGGGGTTGGTGCCCCCAGCCCTCCCCCATTTCCTGTGGTGATTTCTTGGCTTCATCCGCTGATTCCTGCCTTTTAACCCCGCCAGCAAAATCCTTCGAAGATACAGACACCAGTATATCCTAAAATTAAGAGAGAAAGACAAAGGAACTGGGATAGCTGAACCAACATGAAAAATAAATCTATTGAGAAATCCCTTAGTTTGAAGACTGCCTGGGCCTGGAAACACACCGCCCGAGACAGGGCAGCCCCGATGAGGGCCAGAGGCTAGCTCAGGGGCAGGACGGAGCCGCAGGGAGTGGTCTGCATGCGCACCCACAGCTGACCTTTAAGAAAGGTGTAAAAGCCACTTAATGAAGAACCTGGCATGGTCAACACGTGGTGTTGGGAGGACCAACATCCACACGCAAGGCTCAAACATTAACGCTGAGACAAGTCACTCACAACCCGCATGTCAGCCTAAAGGTCCCACGCTAAGCCCAGGGGCTTTGGGGGGACAGTCTTTGTGGCCTGGGGTTCTTAGACAAGACTCCAACCTCACCAAATAATCAGAAGGGAAAGGCAAGGCAGAGGCTGGAAGAAAATTCTTGCAAATCCCATATCTGACAAGGGAAGTGTATTCTTTCAGAACACGGAAAGGAACTTCTAAATTTGGCACTAGGAAACTGAACCGCCCGACCCACAAACTGGCACAAGATTCCAGCAGACATCTCGCCAGAGACACCCAAGCCCAGCTGAGAAGCACACGAGGAGATAGATGTTCAGCATTGTGCGCGCGACTAAGGAAACACAAATAAGCCACCATGAACCTCCTCTGGGTGCCTCCTGGGATGAACTGTCACACGAAGAAGGGCAGGCAACAGCAAGTGTTGGCGAGAACGTGGAGAAATGGACCCCCTCAGACATTACTGCCGACCAGGCAAAATAGAACAGCCTTGGAAAAGAGTTTGGCAGTTCCTCCAGAGGTTAGCAATGGCGTCATGGAGACCCAGCCTAGATGCCGACTGTCCCTGCTCTCTAGAGAGGCTATCCACGAGGGACTTCTCCAGACAACCTCTAAGTTGCCCCTTAGGGTTGAGGAGGCTAGAACTCTTAATCCCGGTGCTGGCTCTGCCAGTTCGGGGGAAGTCCTTTGGTGGTCTTTCTGTGGCTGGATTCTACCTCCTCCCTCTCGGCTTACTCCTCTGTCAGAGTCTGCTTTTGGTAAACCTCAAAGGTGACTGCCTTAAAACGCAAGCACCTTAACAAAGAAAACCACCCATTTCTGAATGGGGTCATAACCACAGGCAGAGGGATGAGGAATTAACACACACACACACACACACACATTTCTTCATATTACTCTTCATGCATCTAGTCATGTGTGCTACTGTCTACATAACTGGCTATCTATGCCATGTACTATGCTGCTATAGCATGCATTTCAGGGGCCACAAGTCAATGTGTAACAGCCACACAAGAGAATCTCTCCGTACCATGTTGGGAAGCAGTGGGCAGAAGACTTGAAAACCACTCCACCAACGAGGGTGGGAACATCCCAGAGGAGCGAAACTAGGTTGTATGTAGTACATACCATTCTCACTGCCATCAAGTCTATGCTGACTCAGCGAACCTAGAGGACAGGGTGGAACTGCCCTGTGGGTTTCTGAGACTGTAACGCCTTACGAGAGCAGAAAGCCTCATCTTTCTCCCATGATGTGGCTGGCGGTTTCGAATTGCTGACCTTGCAGTTAGTAGCCCAATGTGTATTAGATGTATGAAACTCTTAGATGTACGAAAATAGCTCAGACTGACCAGTGAGTGGGGTTTGCTGTAACTTGGATCAGAGCCTGCCCCGGAATCAATGATGAGTTCTAGCACCCCCACCCATGAGGAAGGGACCACTCCCGGAAGGAAGGGGACACCCCCAGAAGGAAGGGACCACCTGTAGGAAGTTGGCACTAGGTAGATCCCCATGTCTGATGCCTTGAGAGCGGCAGGCACCTTCCCGTGGTGTCTCTGCCTGCACCCAAAACAAACACCCCACCCATGAATCTATTCATTGGAAACATCAGCAGACCCCAAATGGAGTAACCTAGAAAACAATTGGCCTGTATTCGTCAAAAATATTCGTGTAATAGACACCTGTGGCACCCCACCCTGGAGAGCCTGCGACTGCTTCAGGTTGCAGGTGACTAAAGAGACCCCACAAGGGACACCTCCAGGCTAGCCTGGATCAGGGAGCATGGGCCACAAAAAGCACAACTGGGGTCTCTGCCAACACTGCAGAGGAGTGGACATGAGATTGCAGTGCCCGTGGGAAGCACACGCTGGAATATGAGAATTCAAAAGCAACCTTTGATCCCAATGTTGGTTCAGATGGAAAATAAATAGTTACATGCGGCGAAAGAGAATTAAGAAACTGTTAGGAATTAGTGAAGATGCATGAAGGTTATGGGAGGGGTGTTTCCGTCCTTGCAACTGTGCGGTCGACTCGAAAGCATTTCAAAATATCAAGTGAAATACGAGGCGTCCACCTCTGCTTCTGGGGATGGCGGCAGCCCCGTGAGCACAAGCAGGCCAGCTCTCACTCCCCGGACAGGGGTGGGGCCTGATGACTAGCCTGAGGCAGCCGCTTTCAGGCCAGCGGTGTATACTGTGAGAGGGGGTACCCTCACGGGGTGGGGGGGGGGAGGTGGTGGTGGTGCTTCGGGCAGGGGTCCAAGCAGAGCACAGAGGTCCAACTGAGCTGAGAGGCAGAGACCAGAATTTGGGGTGGGGTCAAGGGTGGGGAGCTTCTTGGGGGTCCAGAAAATAGCCCTAAGCCTATGGCTGCGGGCCAGGCTTTTTACAGGCACCTAGCACACCCAAGGCTTACCTTGAGCAGGTGCTACAGGCTGGGGATTAGCTCTTCACTGTCGGTGACAAATGATCACAACGCGTGTGGCTTAAACCAGCACACATTTAGGGTCTCAGTTAATCTCGAGTTGAAAGTCTGGGTAGGACTGCACTGGGCCCTCTGCTCAAGGCCTTTCCAGGGCTCAGTGCTCCTTTCTGAAGGCAGGGGCCCTTGTCTCTGCGGACTCGGTCATTGGCAGAATCCAGTGCCTCACATGTTGGGATGACGGTCCTACTACCTTGTTGATCGACACCTTGGGGCTACTCTTAGCTCTCGGGGCCTGTGTGTCCGGGTGGACTAGAGAAA